GAACACATACAAATAAAAATTCTCAGAAATTAGTCATTGGATGAGTCACCTCAGTTTAAGAGGACTGCTGCAGCTAATCAGCATTATCCAATACAAAATGTGTACAACATAGCCAGATTTACATGCACTGACATACTATTTGAAGTGGTAGCTGAGTTAGTGAACACTTCCTGTCTGTTAGGAAATTAGCTTCTGAATTGTTGCATGGGTTTTAATGAAGTTTCAGCAAGAAAATACTAGATGTACAACAAGTTGGGATTTGGAGTCAACTTATTTCAATATGGCTGCCACAACAAATCTAACTCTTGCCAACCCCAAAAGTTGCAGATTATCTAGCAAATAATGGCAGTGTTGTATTAACACTGCTGGTGTTGATTTAACACTTAACCGTGTCAAATCAACACTAAACCACATTCATTTAACACTGCATAGGATAATAGTTGTGTGGTGATAGCTGAGAGTCATCCTCAGCACAGAGCATATCATATGAGATGCTGTGGTTGTGGCGGCCATCTAAAAGTGGACATATGTTTATAAATCCTTCTCTTTCCCATTTAAATCCTTCAGTTGGGATCTTTTTAAAAATGAACTGCAATGCTTTGGTCTAAATTCCTCCACAGGAGCCTCTTTCACCCTTTTTCTGAGRTAAAACTCATTTTGAGGCTGTCTCTAAATCCAAACAAGATGCTTCACCCGCCCCCCTCCAGCTTCCAAACATGTCCATTTCAGTTAAAAACAGGGGTTTACTACTTTCTAGCAGCGCAGAAACGTTTCATTTRCAAAAGAATAAAAAGATGGCAACAAAAGAAGACTTGTCCACCCAGCCTTACATGTTGGAGCCRCAGGGTMTGACCCAGAGCCATGAAAACAACCAAACTGCAGTTTGTAAGAGCAGACCTTATTTGGCAGTTCTRTAGCAATAATTTGACACAATAGTTTAGAAAATGTCTTAGAAAATATGGAAAGCTGAACAGGATGAAAAACATGACCCAAACAGAACATAAAGATATCAATGCAGCATCGGAACAAACTTATCTGCGCTCCTAAAACAACAAAATGTATTTAATGGCTAATGCCATGGGGGTGGGGGGGTATATTTATATACCGTATATATTTTACCATACCATATTTTATCTAATTTATTACATCCTAAAGCTGAAGTACTAATTGAGTTCTAGAATAAGAGAAGCAGTTTCTTATGTCTTTTATTCCATTCGTTTTTATTTTATTTTTGGTCAGTTGGAGCTTATCTTGACTAAAAGTTGACGAAAGTTGAAATTTCACGTGGTAGGTGGTACCATTTTTAATGTCTTTAAAAATGTTCCAGTTTATTATTATTGTTCTTTTCATTATTGCTGTTGTTGGTTATCAGACCAACGCCCAGTCCCTGTGCCGGTGTCTGAACCGTCTCCAGTCCCGCTCTGTGCGCATCTGTGTGAGGCTGCGCGCTTTTCTCCTCCGTGAATCCAGAACCTCCGCCGCGCCCCTTTGACCACGCTTGATTCGCAACAATAGGGAGGGGGGACAGGGTAGATGGAAAGAGAGAGACGAAGAGAGAGAGAGAGAGAGAGAGAGAGAGAGAGAGAGAGAGAGAGAGA